CAATGAGCGTTGTCTAAAGGTGGCACTTAGGATTATGTTAAATGAGCTTAAAGGGTTTTGAGCTCTAAAGGAGGTACAGACTTAAATCCATCGTCATCAATTACAAATGCACCATTTGGTAATATTTTTGCAAAGCAATTTTTTAAAGTAAAAAAAGTAATTTCGTCAAAAAAAGCAAATGACAATGTAATTACTATTATATAAAAGTAAAAACACACAAAAAAAATACCTAATAGTACAAATCAAATTCAACAAAACTGATCAATTTCAAGGAGTTATGTTGAATTCCACTTAATCTTGACCAGGATGGGCAGTGCCTTCAACACATTACACCTTGAGAATTCCAAAGTGGCCGGAAGGAAACGATTTCTTGGATTTCTATAAATCCATCTGTAAAGAGGAAAGAAGAGGTATGAACACCTATATTGCTTTCATTGCGATGATAGAATAAGAATTCAATGGAGGACTTCTTGGTGCGTGCCAATCATTCAATTGGTGATCTAGCATCGTGAGCAAAAGTCGATAGAGGAACGAGGCAGTTGAGACCAACTCCTTCGCTGGCCANACACTTGGAGTTGAAATGAAAAGGTGATTAAGTACCGGGTTTGGTAAAATATTTGAGATATTTTGACTCGTGCGTGTGGTATATTTAATATCGTATTTTAATTGTGATATGTGTTTATGATTTTGAGGGGGTTGAAATGATTGTACAAAATGCATCGAGTGATGTCTAACAAGTTGTCGAGACTGATCAAGTATTTAGTCACAAGTGATTTGAATATTCGTATCTTTGAATTCGTTGACATGTTCAATGTATTTGTACTTTATAAATTATCATGTTAATTCTTGTGTCGTCGATTGTTTATTAGATAACTGATTAATTATTGTTTCGCTCATNAAGCGACTGAGAGAAGAGCTCAAACTCCTGTACTATACTGAATTCATTCATTGCAGTTTTTTGCGATGAAAAATATTTAGTGATTTCTCATACATGATTGGGTCAAATAATTCTCTTACAACATTCTAAACTTGAAAATGCAATCATATATAATCCCAATTTAAGAGCAAATTTTGCATCTGATATTCCAATTGGGATACAATTGTATCAAGATCTGGGTAAGGTAAATGAATGAGCCCAATGAAGACCCAGAGCAAAACAGAATCATCAACTGTAATGTTAAAAAAAAATAAATTACAATGGAAAGTTCAAACCCTAAGGTCTAGCCCTACCTCTGTCAGTTGATCACAAGTTTCATCAGCCATGTTAAGTTACATCCTCCTTTTGAATCATCATCTGCCCTTCTTTGGGGAGTGACCAGTCTTTCGCTTGTGACGACTGAAATCTGAAACAAAGCGAAATGTCTGGCCACAACCGGCCACAGTGCAGATGTAAGGACGCGCACCTGTATGAACTCTAATGTGTTCAGTCCGTGCCCATGCCCACTTGAATGTCATCTTGCAGCCCTTCCACGGGCATTTCAGGGGGCGGTCATCCACATGAACACGTCGGTGCTGCACCAGATACTTGTGTGAAAAGAACTTCTTCCCACACCCCTTGACGGGACAGATGTTTCTCTTATGCAGTACAAGCTCTTGTTTCGAACCAAAACTCATTGTACACCCCTCCATGTCACAAGGGTATTCTCCTTCCTCACCCCTCGTTTTCTTATTGTTATTCCCTGCCGGAACCTTCCCAGCTGGAGCTTTCTTTCCTTTCTTGATGCTCGGCTGCTGCTTCAATACTGGCTTGGCCTCAACTTGTTTGACTCTCACCCGTTTAAATTCCAACTCTTTAGTTGGCTTTGGTATTCTTGTCCTTAGGCGTGTGCTAGGCCCACCATCCAGCTCATCCTCATCGTACGAGTCCACAGATCTGGTATTCCCCTGGCGGCTACTCCTAGTCAGAGGAGTGTAGTTTTTCATTCGCTTGTTTCGAAGAATCCTCTTGTGTTCCTGGTGAGAGTCATCCTCTGGTGACTCATCTGAAGATTTATCAGGATCTTCTGTTTTTGGTGATTTAGCTTTAATGATTGACCTACTTTCTACTCTATTTTTCCTCTTCGTTCCAGTTTTGCTAGCTGCAGAGCCTGATTCAGTCAAGTGGGTACCTTCCGATATTCTCTCCAGCTTCATAGGCTTTGCCTGAGCCGGAATTCTTCTTTCCTGTTCTTGTTCCTCATGATTCCTTTCTGCTAATAAAAAATGAACCTGATTTGACATCCAGACTTTCCCACACCATTTTCCAGCCACAGCTATCTTTTTATGCTTGCTTGACCCCTTCACGCTTAACTCAGGTTCCATTGAGGTGTTAGCTTGAGAACTGCGTCCAAAGGCATTATATATAATTGAGTTAAATGGCATCTGCTTACAGTAGAGATGAGAGCGGCTAAGGTTCACACTGTAGTAGAGATTGATGCCTAGCTTTACAGCCCAATCCCCATTCCCATGTATGGCTGCCTCACTATTTAAAGCTGATTGCATCCTCTCTTCATCTTCTTCACTGGCCTCCCTGAATGCAATATCACTCCATAAATAGTCGGTTCCCAGTTCTTGTGCCACTAATTTTGCTTCAGTCTCTAGCTTGGGATAATCTGCCGATGTTTCACCAAATTAATGAATGATCAGAGGAAAGCAATTATAAGATGAATTTAAAAGATGCAGGGTAGAAGGCTGCTGAGTAATATACATTGATTATGCATATTCTTTTTTTTTCCAAAGCCAAGAAAAGGAAGAAGAATAAGTAAAAAAGAAACATATTCATTAACAAAGTGGTTGGCACATGGTGTCACTTGCCTCCCCTCAGCCGATGATACGTGAAATGCATCATAATAAATGAAAAGAAAGTTCAAGCCTCTTGACCAGACAAGGTTTACTTGATAACCTAATCTTATGTAAGTTCATCTTGTCAGAGAAGAAATCTGAACCTGTAGAAACAAAAAGTTCTTCACATCATCGAGAGCACCCTTGTGGTAGCCAAAGACCTCTAGTGTGGTGTGAGGTTATGTGTATGCTTTTCTATGTACTTATCGCATATTACCCGGGCAGAAAAGGATCCCGTGCCCTAGGCGTCATGAGTCATGACACCCACATTTTCCAAGGATGATATGATACAAATCCTAGTACACTCTGTAAGCTGAATATTCTGTACAGTAAGGCCCCACTTGGATGCGGTAATCTTGATTGGTGGAAATGGGAATCGCATTCCTAAATCTCATGATTATCATGTTTGGATAGTCAACTATTCGGTAATCCAACCCGGAAATAAGATTACTATGGTAATCAAATTCCCAACGTTTGTGAGAATCTTAAACCATGCTCATACCTACCTTGATCGGGTATTCTAAAAAAAGAATAAAATTCTAAAATCAATCTCATTTCAAAAATTAACTTCATTTCTTAAATTAAGCTCTCTTCCTCGATCAATCTCCATTTNATTGTGAGAATCTTAAACCATGCTCATACCTACCTTGATCGGGTATTCTAAAAAAAGAATAAAATTCTAAAATCAATCTCAATTCAAAAATTAACTTCATTTCTTAAATTAAGCTCTCTTCCTCGATCAATCTCCATTTCACTTTTCACTGTGCATAGACTCTCATAGAAACCAGGTTTCTGAAATGGTTTAGCGATAACATACCTGAATGACAAAGGAGCAAGATATGAGATCCGCCAATTGAACGAAGTTGATGTTCTACTTCTACAGCATGCTGAAGACAGAAGACATGCATTCTAGAAGAATCTTCATCAGATCTCGAAGCAAATGAAATTGTCGTGTTCTCGACTGGTACTATGGCACTACCAATTACTGTTTCAACCTTATGAGCAAAACAACTCGGGGCAACATGAGGTAGTTTTATTTGATGTCTAAACCTATCACGTAAACTATTTGCCTCGATTGCAATGATATTACAGGTTTCATCTTCACTGGAATAGTCGATACATGGATCTGTATGACTTTTATCCTTGAAACTAGCTCTTGTGCGTACATGCTTTCCATAAGGATCAATGATTGGGGGAGGAACTTCATCTCCACAACCTAACCGTGGAAAGGGGAGATCATGAAAGCCAGTTGATCCACTAAAACAATCAAGAGAATGCAATCCAGTTTTATGACGTTCAAGTGTACTTTCTGGGGGATGTTCTCCCGACTGGGGTTTGTTGGCATTGTTAGGAATATCTGCCTCAACCAGATCTTCCTCTGAGTCAGACGAATCATAAGTCAAAGCCAAAAGGCCAAGAGAAGAATGCTCATGCTGTGCTTCAGTATTTAAAACCACTCCCATGATTTCATCTACTGTTTGAATTTGATCAGTAGATTCTATTGGGACCTCGAATAAACCATCTCGAGTTCTTTTCAACTTCCATCCTGCAAGTGAATGAATAAAATAAGTTCAAATTTTGTGTCAGAATGCATGCATTAAAAAATGTCAATGCTCCATCACCCAAATTTAGAATAAAGAAATACTCGCATCTTAATGTGTCCCAAGAGCCAGAGTCATAAGATGCTCAAGTTCTTGCCCACTGGCATCTTTTGGTAACTCGNCAATGCTCCATCACCCAAATTTAGAATAAAGAAATACTCGCATCTTAATGTGTCCCCAGAGCCAGAGTCATAAGATGCTCAAGTTCTTGCCCACTGGCATCTTTTGGTAACTCGTATCTAGCCTCTATTGCTTTGATTAGTCAAGTACAGGAATGTATCACAATGCATGAAAGAATCTCTACATTGGCCATCCAAGAAGTGCAATTAAATAGAACCCACAATGAGGGTGCAAGTGAGCTCAAGAGAGTGAGAGAGGGAGAGTTGCATGGCCACTTCCCATCATAGAGTTGGGACAGTATTACTTCCAGAATAAAAAATGAGTTTTTTACTCTTAACACCAGATGATTCCTGAATGAATGCAAGTATCCATAAAAAATACAAACAAACGAAAGAAACCTGAACAGGAATCCAGCTCAGAAGCATTTGCATCCCCACTGACAGCAGTCAAGCCGTCACTACTGATCCCACAATCACCAAAAACACTACAATCAGTTGACATGAGGTATCTTGAGGCTGCTTCGCTTGGTTGAACTATGGCAACACAAGCATAGCACAAAATCCCACAAGTGACGCATGAAAACAGTCCCTGATCCGACAACCTATCACAGCGAGCAGTCCTTTCTCTTTCACAGCCCAAGTTTTGGGTCTGAGAAGCTAAAGAGCCTAATACATTATTACTTCTGCCCAACAAGGAAAGATTGTTCTCAGCACAAAAAGAAGAAAATCTCCCCATCGTTGAGTAGAAACCCGGCAAATGCTGGGCACACTGCTTCGTGTCTAGCAAAATATCATCAGAAAGCAAACCTTTTGCATCATTCAAATCATCATCTGGACTGCATAAACCAAGGGAAAACCTGGGTTTTACTTTTAACTGAGATCCTACATGAAGATTTGAGCAAGCAGAATTGTCTACAAAGTTTTGGGGAAGAAGCACAACTGAAGATCCTTTCCCAAGAACATGGAGCAGGTCATTGTTATGCATCAGATCGTGAATAAATAGCTCTTTAACCAAGGTGTCTCCATCACCCTTCTTCTTATCCTTTAGTCGAGAACTCCGAGGTTCTTTACTGATGCTCTTCGGTACCCTGGAAATGATCAGGAATTGAAAGGTTAAAAACAAAATAAAGTAAATCTAATAAACCAATGCAGCTATTGCGCACGTGGGGTAGAAGCGTTTGCATTTCAAATTGATTTTCACTCAGGATATTTCCTTATTATACTCATGGAAGCATAATATAATAGCTGAGACTTACACACAACAAATTAAAGAGAATAAAGAAAGAAGCGCCAAAAATAAAAAACAAGAACAAGCAACATATATAACAGCCTAAGTTGCCTAACACTAGCAAAACATTATGCATGAATATGTACAAATATGAGTTCGCATACATGCTTCTCAATCCTTACTACCTATTTATATAAGCTGGTTGAGTCTCATTGTCAACCTACATCATCTTTAGATAATAACTGAACAAAAACTCCATTCTTTGCTTTTGAATTTGCAATCAGACTACTTCAAGAAGGCTTAATGAACTACATGGAAATCTACCATAGCAAGATAACAAACCTTGAACACAATGAAAGTGCAAGATCGTAAAGCAACTGGAAATGGGAAACCATGGGAGGACAATTGATTGATGCCCTACGAATTGCAGCATCTTTAGCAACCCTCAACCATCCAGGAGTAGCAATATTAGCAGCCTCCCCACAGTTAAATCCTACATGTCACAATGAAATGCATGATAATAAACCACCATTACATATTATGCAGTACCTATATCAGGAAAACATACCAATATAAATAAATTAAAAAAAAAAAAGGAAATTGAAAAGATGAATTAACCATGACTAAACCCTGAGTGATAGGCTCTAGGAAAAGTGACAACGAATTCACCAGCATTTTGCACCAACCTGCATCAACAAAAATGAAATGGTCAGAGAAATACAGATGATTCACATCAATAAGCACCTTTCAGCTTATTTTATCAGACTGGTGGAACAAATGTCAAATAACATTAGTTGCGGTGCATTTTTACATTTTTTTTCACTAGGAATTGTTCCCTGTTTACTAATCCTGCAAAGCATGGTGTTACAGCTTTGAAACAATCTTCTCAACAATGATCTCTAAGCCAACCGCAGAAGCAATTTATATTTCGGGATGTGCCTGAGTCCCAATCTACACTTGAACCCTCCACTCCCTCTCCGGAGGGTGGCAGGAAAGGAAATACCAGTCAAGCTAATAGCCACTGGTGCAGAGGCCATTATAAGCAATATTTACTTCAGAGTACTAGAATTAATTTCCAGAGAGCAAAATGAAAATCAAAATTTCACCTGCAACATGGAACCCCAGCACCAAGCAGAACTTCTGGTGACATTACCGTGACCTTCTCACCAAGTGTAGCACAAGTCACTGAAAGAAAATTAACATAAGTTTCAGTTAGGATGCCCTTTCTTTTTTATTTTATTTTATTTGGTTAAGAACTAACCACTCCCCCTCCCCCTTTCCAAAAAAAGTCTTTATCAGGAACACTTGAACACTGTACTTCAGTTTCGGATTACATTAAATACTATTGAAGCTAAAACAGCTGATGGTATAGCACAATCTCAAATAGGAAACACATTTTGAAAAACCTATCAGTTATCAACAAAACAAGATAATCAAAGCACCACTGCAGCAACCTAAATAAATGGAAACTTATTTAAAAGGGAATGCCAGAAATTAACATCACAAAAGGGATTCCATTGGAATTGAAGTACTCAGACTTTCAGAATTTCATTCGCAGCCATAGTCCTCAAGACTTCAGTATTTCAGTTTATTTAATGCGAATGAAACACAATTTGAAAATTGAGTTCAATTTGTAGAAAAACAAAATGAAAAAAATGGGCAGCTTAGTGCACGAGGCTCCCCCTACTGCGGGGCCTAAAGAGAGTTAGATGTACGCGACTTTTCCTCCGTAAGCGGAGAGACAGTTTCCACCACTCGAACTAGTGACGCCCAAGTCACAATGGAACAACTTTACCGTTGCGCTATGACCCCCTCTCTTATTAAAAAAACAAACAAGATGTTCTAAAACACCTCTGCAGCAACCAAAATAAGTGAGAAGCCATACATGAAAGAAATCCCATCGAAATTCACAACTCTCAACTACAGTATTTTGTGAGCCACAGATTGCAATCCTACAGAATCTGCACACACAATCTATTGGCCACATTACACCCTGAATGTGAAAATTCATAGATTCAGATGATATGGCTCCGAAAATAGGCAGATGTTTGGTGGCTAGTTTCCCAAAAAGGTATTTTTTACCCAAAAGAAAAAAAGAAAAAATAATTTCCCAAAAGATAGGTTAAATCATTGATTGGATGAATGTGCCCCAAGTTCAGACCAAATAGGACTTGCTAGCACACCTCCACACGCACAAAGGTGAAAAATACATGTACGTATTACACTCGTATACATACCTGTATACAAATGTAAATCAAATGTGTGTGTATCATGCCAAAATGAGGAATATCTTAGCAATCAATCAAAGAAGCCTTCATAGCATATTGGTCAAATGAATGTGTATTTTTGCCAGATATGGAAATTAACATGCATCACTAACAAATAAATTTCTTGCATTGTTTTTATACAATAACATGTTTATAAGTAATTGGGTCTACCTACTTTACACCATTTAGCAACTCCTGTCTAGGACATCTTAGATAGTAGCCTCAGACTGTTTGCATAAACAATGAAAAACAAAATCATCAAATAATGAGTTTTCTTATTTGGAACACAATCTTCACAGGTATTGAATGCATTTCTATAAAAAAACATTAAAAAAATAGTACCCATGTGCATGAAGTGAAATTCACAAAACTGCGAAGTTGCTGAACTCTTCAAAAGAAACAATTCGCACAAGAATTTACAGAAGACGACTATGGCAGACTGGAAGTGCTNAAGTACCCATGTGCATGAAGTGAAATTCACAAAACTGCGAAGTTGCTGAACTCTTCAAAGAAACAATTCGCACAAGAATTTACAGAAGACGACTATGGCAGACTGGAAGTGCTCGTATTCAGTATCCTATGTTACACAGAAATTGCCCAATGAGAAACGAGATCTCTCTTGTTAAGGACATTAGACAAGAAAGTGATTAGTAAACTTACAATCTAAAACCAAATGCTACTTGCTTCTGAGGAGAAACCACAGAGTGCCATACAAAACAATTGTCAACATTGAGAAGGCCGAAGCACAACATCAATTCCTATAGTAACCCAATCTCCTAATCCTCCTTTATTAAATTTTTTTTGTGTGATATGAGTAATCCTCTAACTCTAAAACTTACCCTTTTTACTAGATAAGAAAGCAAAGGGAAGAGCATCCTTATATGAAAGAACTACACCAAATCTCCAAATATAAGCAATTCCTACAACCTCTCCCGAATTTCTAATTAACAATACTGATAGTGAGTTGCATNTGGAAATTGCGGTTTTCTTCGGAGGTGCCGGCACAGGTGGAACGATTTTGCAGATTCCATAGTTTGAGGCTTCTTTTTCGATCTTGAAAATGTACCCAATTGGATCTTCGAACTCAGCTAGGNTGAATTTCTAATTAACAATACTGATAGTGAGTTGCATGGGCTGTTGTCTGAAATATAATCTTCCAAGTTTCAATGCCCAAAGTTCACTCAAGGCCGGCCAATTTCTCAATGTTCCTAAGACTATCATGNGAAGTGTTTTTGACAAAATTCACTAAATTAATAGACTAAATGAAGAGAAAATATTCGTTTATACCATGGCGATACATTGATAAAGTGTAACAATCTAATGATGCGACAGTAAATCTCACATAAATAATTATTACATGAATAGGATAATAAATAGGCAAGTGGATCACACACNCGAATTTCTAATTAACAATACTGATAGTGAGTTGCATGGGCTGTTGTCTGAAATATAATCTTCCAAGTTTTAATGCCCAAAGTTCACTCAAGGCCGGCCAATTTCTCAATGTTCCTAAGACTATCATGCTCACTAGCCCATCCTAGGAAATCAGAGGGTCCTTCAAATAGGATTATGCCCAAGTCAATGAGTTCATGTACAGAGTAGTGGTTAATAACAATTCACTATATAATCCTACATAACACCTCACAAAAGTAACATGCAAAATTTCTTGACATACAGTAAAACAGAGTATATCACAGGACAAAACAGGGGAGGCTAAGTAGAGCATTGTCTACTTCAATGTACCACTTAACTCACCAAGAGGATTAATCTCTCCTCCATACCCATGAACCCTGATCACCTCCTCGAATGCAATGGCCGCCTCCCTCGGCACACCATACCAAGTCTTCCCTGTCCCTGTATGCAAATAATTCAAGCTATGCAAGTCATGATCCTCCACATGCCAAGCAAACCAGCTAAACAACATTGCAATGTACACCATCGGCGATGTCACTCCAGGAATGTCGTCCTTCATAAACCTCAACAAAGACCCTTTCGCCCTAGACACACCTCTCATATTCCACTCAGTCTCACCAACAGTCACTGCCTCCCCTGTTTCCCTACTCTTCTTCCCACTCAAAGGCACAAATGCCGACCCTGGCATGTCATTTGCATACTCCACCGAAAAGGGTTTATCCACAGTCGCCTTCCAGTAAAGGGTTTCGATTTCCAAAGCAGATAAAGCCTTTTTCGCGGCTTTCTTCAAGTAATTCCTCTCAAAACTCTTGGCTTTGGCTTCAAATTCATTTAAAGTGTATTGCTCACCACTCTGCCACACAGGTTTTTGAACTGGCCGATGTTTTCGTGGGCAAAACCCAATCTGCTGTTGCCTTGTAGTAAATGTGGGGGTTGATTTGGGGTTGGAGTTCGATGAACGGGCCGCGAGGGACTTGTTGAGGTAGGAAATTGCGGTTTTCTTCGGAGGTGCCGGCACAGGTGGAACGATTTTGCAGATTCCATAGTTCGAGGCTTCTTTTTCGATCTTGAAAATGTACCCAATTGGATCTTCGAACTCAGCTAGGGTTGGGTGGTACTCTGGCGCCACTGGTAGGTTTTTCAGCCATGAGAACACCTCTATATTACTTGGTTGCTCTGCTGCAGAAGCCATTAATCAATAAGCCTCACTACATACACAGACATATATGTCTATATCGATTATATATGTGCGTGTGTGAGATCTGTGAGGTTTAATGGGGGAGCATTGTGTGTTGTATAGATAGAGAGAGAGCTGTTGAGGTTCTCTGTTTTTCTCTCTCTAAACTCTCATTTTGGTATTTGTTTTTCCCTGCTCTGTTTTTTTTTTTTTATAGGTCTCTGTCTCTTTATACAGAGGAGGTGGAAATGGTGAAAAGGGTTTAGGAAAACGGGGGGGGCAAGTGAGAGAGTGAAACAGCGGAGAGTGATGTGCGTTGGGTTGGAGGGGGAGGGGGGGGGAAGGGTGTTCGGTAGAACTTGTGAAAAAGACAGTAAACTTGACTAAATTTACGATTTTGTCACTGAAAATTTTCAATTTCTGGACTGGATAAGGGCTAATGGAGGCAGGCGACACGACCCGTTCTAGAACACAATACGGGAGTTTGAGTCTTCTTAAGTTATTTGGTAGACCCGATACAATATTATTAATAAATAAATTAAATATAAATGAAGTGTTTTTGACAAAATTCACTAAATTAATAGACTAAAGGAAGAGAAAATATTCGTTTATACCATGGCGATACATTGATAAAGTGTAACAATCTAATGATGCGACAGTAAACCTCACATAAATAATTATTACATGAATAGGATAATAAATAGGCAAGTGGATCACACACAAATAATTATTGCATGATATAGATGAATATTTATTTAATTATGTGAAATTTACTTACTTACTTGCTATTTTATCATTATCATTGAATAGGTATATCATGTTGTTAGAGCATATTCGGCTTTTACTATTTTTTGTAAACAAATTTAAATTTTTGTAAAAATGATCAAAAATGTTTCTCTAATTAGACTCATATCTATAGTAAACGAATAGAAACTCCTTTTTAAATCCATATCACGAGAAATGTTTTTTTAAATTCAAATACTTAATAATGAGATTTTATTTTTTTCAAAAAAAAATTCAATAACTATATTTTATTCTCATTTAAATTTGAATTTGTTTTCATTTAAATTTGAATTTTTCTTCTTTTAAATTTAAATTTTTGCATTTGAGAAGTATATACCAAACTAAAATTTTCATCTATTATTTTTTCACTCAAATTTAGATATGAGTTTAAATTTTCATCCGAGATGATGTCGGTGTGCTGACGCAGCGTAAAAGTTGCAATAAATATTTTTTCCAAAAGAAGGCTGAGTGGGTGAGCTGTGTTTGTTGCAGTGGTGTCCTTAAATCTTTCTCTATTTCTGCATCATTTTGTGAATAACTTTCGTCTGTCCCGTATTTTATGTTTATTACAGTTGATAGTGATAGGATTTTTGCGTGGGTTGTCCATCAAAAATCCAAAATATTTAATGGCCCAATGATTACAAGACAGTCCAAGTGACCTCTCTGCAATCTATCAACTCCGCAATAGAAATGAACCTAATTCAAAGGAGGAAATCCAGCTCAGGTCGGCACAATTGGTCATGACAAGCTCAGCAGTAAATAGTTCGAGAGTAAGAAACTTGGTATTCACCAGATCTCGAATATTCTCCATCATGCCATGTGTTCAGGAGACAAGTGAATAACTTCTGAAACTACTAACGAACGCATATTCATTAAAAAATAAAATATTTGTACGCATTCTATCGAGAATCGTGAAGATAATTTGTGTCAAAATAACAGTCACCACTACAAAATAAAAGGAGAGGGCCACATAATCAACAGAGGGAAGAGGAAGATTGCAAAAACCCTAGATGATTACTTGTATATATAATACCATCATACTGTAAAAAAGATATAGATGAGAAAAATTTATACTCACACAAGACATTGTTTACACTAGCTCTAAACCAAAAAAACCTGTTGTAATCTTCTTTTTTAAGCAATATAAATTCTATGAAACAAGAATCTCCATTACAGTAGATATAATCCTAGTCTATCAACTAGGGTCAACCATTTACATATTCTCTTTGATTTAAGTTCATCATCCATTTTTCTTTGTTAACTTAGAGATTTACACTATCCCCCCTCCCCCATCTTATTAAACATTGTTTTGGATTTGGACTGAGCATTTTTGAGCACTATCAATTATTATTCTTATAATTCAATTCTAAGCCGAAGTTAAAATGAAAAGNAAAGTTTTTTGACAAAATTCACTAAATTAATAGACTAAAGGAAGAGAAAATATTCGTTTATACCATGGCGATACATTGATAAAGTGTAACAATCTAATGATGCGACAGTAAACCTCACATAAATAATTATTACATGAATAGGATAATAAATAGGCAAGTGGATCACACACAAATAATTATTGCATGATATAGATGAATATTTATTTAATTATGTGAAATTTACTTACTTGCTATTTTATCATTATCATTGAACAGGTATATCATGTTGTTAGAGCATATTCGGCTTTNTATCGATCCTAAGCTCGAGTAAAAAAGAAAAATTGTGTTAGATTAAACCTAAAAATAGTTGAGATAAATATTTTTTATAATTGAATCGAGGTACCACTTAATTAGTTATTACTTTTTTTAAAAAATGTTGTGTGAATTATGTTAACCATATAATTTGACCCAAAAATCTGAGTTCAGCTCAATTGTTAGTACCACACTGAAGGTCACAACTTAGAATAAGTTAATAGTTGNTTTAATAATGAGATTTTATTTTTTTCAAAAAAAATTCAATAACTATATTTTATTCTCATTTAAATTTGAATTTTTCTTCTTTTAAATTTAAATTTTTGCATTTGAGAAGTATNCCATATAATTTGACCCAAAAATCTGAGTTCAGCTCAATTGTTAGTACCACACTGAAGGTCACAACTTAGAATAAGTTAATAGTTGCATTTCAATTGTGATCAAGTCATGACTCATGAATATCAAACAAAAAAACAATTGTAACAGAGTCAGAGTCAGAGTTAAAGTCAAATTAAAACCTGAAAAAGTTAGAAATCGAACATAAAATATTATGATAGATACTAATAAATGTTTAGAACCAATCTCAAACATCACTAATCAAGTTTTTGCCTTCCTAGATTAAATGGCAACTTCATCCCACTTATTCATAATTTCTGTTATAATGCCAAAATAATAAATCTTTATTTCCTTTTCCCCATGCATCTAATAAAAACACCATATGTAACTGAGGAACAGTAGTACGATCAATGTNGGAAACTTGGTATTCACAGGATCTCGAACGTTCCCCATCATGCCATGTGTCCAGGGGACAAGCGAATAACTTTTGGAACTACTAACGAACGCATACTTACTAAAAAATAAAATATTTGTACGCATTCTATCGAGAATCGTGAAGATGATTTGTGTCAAAATAACGGTCACCACTACAAAATAAAAGGAGAGGGCCACATAATCAACAGAGGGAAGAGGAAGATTGCAAAAATCCTAGATGATTACTTGTATATATAATACCCTCATACTATAAAAAAGATATAGAAGAGAAAAATTTATACTCACACAAGACACTGTTTACACTAGCTCTAAACCAAAAATAACCTGTTGTAATCTTCTTTTTTAAGTAATATAAATTCTACGAAACAAGAGTCTCTATTACAGTGAATGTAATCCTAGTCTATTAATTAGGGTCAACCATTTATATATTGTCTTTGATTTAACTTCATCGTCCATTTTTCTTTGTTAACTTAGAGATTTACACTATCCCCCCCTCCCCCATCTTATTAAACATTGTTTTGGATTTGGACTGAGCATTTTTTAGCACTATCAATTATTATTCTTATAATTCAATTCTAAGCCGAAGTTAAAATGAAAAGTTGTGTGTTATTCAACCTAAAATAATTCGAATAAACACCTTTTTAGAATTGAATTGAGTTAACCCTCTATTTTGTGAATAATTTCGTCTTTGTCGTATTTAATGTATATTTTTCTTATATAATCGATCCTAAGCTCGAGTAAAAAAGAAAAATTGCGTTAGATTAAACCTAAAATAGTTGAGATAAATATTTTTTATAATTGAATCGAGGTACCACTTAATTAGTTATTACTTTTTTTAAAAAATGTTGTGTGAATTATGTTAATCATATAATTTGACCCAAAAATCTGAGTTCAGCTTAATTGTTAGTACCACACTGAAAGTCACAACTTAGTATAAGTTAATAGTTGCATTTCAATTGTGATCAAGTCATGACTCATGAATATTAAACAAAAAAACAATTGTAACAGAGTCAGAGTCGGAGTTAAAGTCAAATTAAAACCTGAAAAAGTTAGAAATCGAACATAAAATATTATGATAGATACTAATAAATGTTTAGAACCAATCTCAAACATCACTAATCAAGTTTTTGCCTTCCTAGATTAAATGGCAACTTCATCCCACTTATTCATAATTTCTATTATAATGCCAAAATAATAAATCTTTATTTCCTTTTCCCCATGCATCTAATAAAAACACCATATGTAACTGAGGAACAGTAGTACGATCAATGTGATTTACAGAATCGTAACATCTATTACAATGCTAACCATTTCTCGATTTGTTCGTGTTTTTTACGCATGAGTTATGCTAATCTTTTGTTACTAGTTAAAATGTTATCGAAGTTCTCCAATGAGGCCTTGCAATGCTAACCAAATGAGCTTTCTTTCATCACAATTGATTGGTGAATGTGGGATGCGATTACATGTATTCAAGAGAATTAAGAGGTCCGAGACAATCCATGTCAGTTGCCACATCATTTGGTCTATGATTTTAATCCTATTTTTAACTTAGTGTAGCATTACCCATTGTTAAGCTATTTCTTTTTAGCATGGCTATATTAGGCCTTTGTTTTCCCTATTTCTATTTGTCAAGGTTGACGTTGAATACAAGTCTAAACTTGAGTTTAAAGTCAAACTGTTATATTTGATGATGCACAAATCAGTATTGCGTAAAATCAACAGTCGAGTATATGTAAAAGTACAAATATATAATGGTTTCGTTCGGATGACTTACTCCACTCTCGAAAAAGGTAGCGGTGGCCAGAGATCTTCATTGATAGATAAAAGTCACTGGGAGAGTATTCTTTGGAAGAATTACAATGCTTTGAGAGAAGAGAGCAATGTGTGAAGAGAAGTGTGTAGAGGTTTTTAGTTATACCCTTTATGTGGAGAGGGTTTACATTATATAGGTTTTGGTAAGACAATGAGGTGGTGACGTGAGAGAGAAAACTTCTACTATTTTGATAAGTACAATTAAGGTAAGGTTAGATCTCTATGTATATCCCGATATTTTCTCCCTCGTGCTNTCATATAATTTGACCCAAAAATCTGAGTTCAGCTTAATTGTTAGTACCACACTGAAAGTCACAACTTAGTATAAGTTAATAGTTGCATTTCAATTGTGATCAAGTCATGACTCATGAATATTAAACAAAAAAACAATTGTAACAGAGTCAGAGTCGGAGTTAAAGTCAAATTAAAACCTGAAAAAGTTAGAAATCGAACATAAAATATTATGATAGATACTAATAAATGTTTAGAACCAATCTCAAACATCACTAATCAAGTTTTTGCCTTCCTAGATTAAATGGCAACTTCATCCCACTTATTCATAATTTCTATTATAATGCCAAAATAATAAATCTTTATTTCCTTTTCCCCATGCATCTAATAAAAACACCATATGTAACTGAGGAACAGTAGTACGATCAATGTGATTTACAGAATCGTAACATCTATTACAATGCTAACCATTTCTCGATTTGTTCGTGTTTTTTACGCATGAGTTATGCTAATCTTTTGTTACTAGTTAAAATGTTATCGAATGTCTCCAATGAGGCCTTGCAATGCTAACCAAATGAGCTTTCTTTCATCACAATTGATTGGTGAATGTGGGATGCGATTACATGTATTCAAGAGAATTAAGAGGTCCGAGACAATCCATGTCAGTTGCCACATCATTTGGTCTATGATTTTAATCCTATTTTTAACTTAGTGTAGCATTACCCATTGTTAAGCTATTTCTTTTTAGCATGGCTATATTAGGCCTTTGTTTTCCCTATTTCTATTTGTCAAGGTTGACGTTGAATACAAGTCTAAACTTGAGTTTAAAGTCAAACTGTTATATTTGATGATGCACAAATCAGTATTGCGCAAAATCAACAGACGAGTATATGTAAAAGTACAAATATATAGTGGTTTCGTTCGGATGACTTACTCCACTCTCGAAAAAGGCAGCGGTGGCCAGAAATCTTCATTGATGGATAAAAGTCACTGGGAGAGTATTCTCTGGAAGAATTACAATGCTTTGAGAGAAGAGAGTAATGTGTGTAAAGAAGTGTGTAGAGGTTTTTAGTTATACCCTTTATGTGGAGAGGGTTTACATTATATAGGTTTTGGTAAGACAATGAGGTGGTGACGTGAGAGAGAAGACTTCTACTATTTTGATAAGTACAATTAAGGTAAGGTTAGATCTCTGTGTATATCCCAATATTTTCTCCCTCGTGCTTCTATTACGTCAGAGAAAAATTTTGAGTTGGGTTGGACTTGAGTTAGAGTGACAAAGAAAAGAGAGCAAAGGAGAAATAGGAGGCTAGTGTTTGGGCAACGCTAGGCCTTGGGCGACGCCTAGGCTTAAGTGACTCCATGAGTGGCGCTCCTTGGTCCCTTCTTGAGCGTTGTCTTTTTGAATCTTTCTTGCACTTGGTGAGTTGGGCTCCTTTCTAGATACCGATCATTTGGGCTTTTTTAATTTATTTTCATTAGCCTTGACTCAATTACTTTTGGGCTCATCAATATTTATAAGGTTGGATTTTAAAGTTAGAATTTCTTCAAATTCTTATGTTAATCTCACTGTGTTACATTTACAAGAGTGTATACTTCTGACAAGGGTCAAACCCCATGCACTCTAGAGAACCATGAATCAAGTTTTCATTTATTACAAAAGGCAATATATAATTTATAATCTTAAAATATGCACCTAATTTATATTTGACCCATGAACTAAGTAATTATACTCACTCACACGCACACAAAAACTACTAATTACAACTATCAAATCTTTTAAGTTTCAACCAATTTTCAATTCAGTCATTCCAATTTGAATCTTTTAATTTGTTCTGGCACCAAAATCTCATCTAACTTGGCCATAGATATATGTTTGTCTTTATTTTTTTTCGATTCTATTATCTTATTTGTCTCACAATCAAATAAAACAAAATAAATTTTTTTAGTATATATTGCAGAATTTTTTTAACGAACAAATATACTTTTTTTATCGAACAAATATATTAATTTTTGAAACGAGTTAAATTTAAATATTTTTTTTAAACTCTTTGAAAAAATAATTTCAATAAACTCAGCTAGAATTTGGGTATAAGGAATTTGGTGTATATTTTAAGATTCTAAATTATAAATAATAAAAATNGACTTCTACTATTTTGATAAGTACAATTAAGGTAAGGTTAGATCTCTGTGTATATCCCAATATTTTCTCCCTCGTGCTTCTATTACGTCAGAGAAAAATTTTGAGTTGGGTTGGACTTGAGTTAGAGTGACAAAGAAAAGAGAGCAAAGGAGAAATAGGAGGCTAGTGTTTGGGCAACGCTAGGCCTTGGGCGACGCCTAGGCTTAAGTGACTCCATGAGTGGCGCTCCTTGGTCCCTTCTTGAGCGTTGTCTTTTTGAATCTTTCTTGCACTTGGTGAGTTGGGCTCCTTTCTAGATACCGATCATTTGGGCTTTTTTAATTTATTTTCATTAGCCTTGACTCAATTACTTTTGGGCTCATCAATATTTATAAGGTTGGATTTTAAAGTTAGAATTTCTTCAAATTCTTATGTTAATCTCACTGTGTTACATTTACAAGAGTGTATACTTCTGACAAGGGTCAAACCCCATGCACTCTAGAGAACCATGAATCAAGTTTTCATTTATTACAAAAGGCAATATATAATTTATAATCTTAAAATATGCACCTAATTTATATTTGACCCATGAACTAAGTAATTATACTCACTCACACGCACACAAAAACTACTAATTACAACTATCAAATCTTTTAAGTTTCAACCAATTTTCAATTCAGTCATTCCAATTTGAATCTTTTAATTTGTTCTGGCACCAAAATCTCATCTAACTTGGCCATAGATATATGTTTGTCTTTATTTTTTTTCGATTCTATTATCTTATTTGTCTCACAATCAAATAAAACAAAATAAATTTTTTTAGTATATATTGCAGAATTTTTTTAACGAACAAATATACTTTTTTTATCGAACAAATATATTAATTTTTGAAACGAGTTAAATTTAAATATTTTTTTTAAACTCTTTGAAAAAATAATTTCAATAAACTCAGCTAGAATTTGGGTATAAGGAATTTGGTGTATATTTTAAGATTCTAAATTATAAATAATAAAAATAAATATGAAAAATATCATAAATTGGAAAAATAAAAGGAAGAAGAAAGTTTAGAGAACCATACAATTGATACACGCATATCATGTGTGTTTATGGTTCTCTGTGGCTGGATAAGTTAGCAGCGGAAAAGCCGTTTGTCTCAACTGCCTCTCAACCGAATGAAAGCTTAGAGAGAGAGAGAGAGAGAGAGAGAGTCCAATCCAATGGCGTCAATGGTCACCTCTCCTTCTTTCACTGCTGCTTCTTCCACCACTGTCTTCTCTCACAACAAAACCTCTGCTTCTAATCTTAGACCCAATGTGAAGACTTTATCATCTTCCATAATGGGTGCACAATTTAGTATAAACCGATCAACAAGAAGGTGTCACATTACAAAACGCTGTCGTAGTGGCGTCACATGCTTGTCTACTTCTCCTTCTGTTCTTCCATCAGCGCTTCTCTTCGACTGTGATGGTGTGCTTGTGGATACTGAGAAGGACGGCCATCGCATTTCTTTCAACGACACATTCGCCGCAGTACACCCACTATCTCTCTTGCTTTTTTTTTTTTT